GGACGTAACACCACCAAATCATATTATTTTCTCTACAAAGATAAAACAAAACCCTACTACTCTGCTTTGCTCCATTCCGGCAATGTCATTCTGTATGGAAGAAGAGGCATGTTGCCTGCCCATCCGACCTATGGCAGATGACAAATGGGAATAATTTTCTTGAATAAGTTTTTCAATATTCCACGTTTTACAAATATAGTTTTGCGAACAGAATAGAATGGCTTAAGTCGGAATGGCTAACTTGACACCACAGAATATTAAACCAGAACTAAAGGTAAACAAAATTATCCATGTTGGGAACAAAGAGCGCTGCCATCTTACCATTCTGTGGCAAACTATTGAATTTTTAGCAGTATAAGACTTGCCATATTACTATCTTGTGCCACCTCGATACATCGTATTGGGCAGACGCCACAATCTGTTCATAATGAGAAACTATAGACTCTTATTATGTATCATTAGATAATAAATTATTTTCTATATTAAAAACTCTGTGGTCGTTATTCAGCAAACAGGAAGTACTTTTAACAGCTCACTTGGTATTTTCAGTAAGACATGTCCTTGGGCATACAATAGTAATGATAGCTTAAAAAAAAACATAAGAAGTAAAGTAAAATAGGACATAGACGCCATTACATAGACAGGGAAATTAAACAAGGTAAAACGAAGCAAATATGTAATGTTTTTTGTTTTGTTTTTGGTTCTAGAAGACCCTTGCTATCTACTGATCTTTGACCCAATCTCTTGTCTTAAATATAAAACTATAGTTTATAAATATATTCCCTTTTAAATATATTGTATTCTGTTGTTCTAGGAGACAATAACAAGACACTGACGTGAACAAAGAAACAAATTGTGATTTTTTTATTTTCTAAGAAAACAAAACTACAGACATAAGCCTTCTCAATCATTTTTATCAACATATTTGATACATGTTTAATATTTTCTTTGTCGGTTATATGTTATCTGTTAATAATAGATTGTAATGTATGTCTTACATATACTGTTCAAATAATATCGCAATACAGTGTAATAGTGGTGTTAGTCTCTTATATAGTGTTATATGGCGTCTTGCGTTTGTGGTACATCTCCATAGTTGGAAATCGAAAAATAATCAAATATGCCGGTGTCCTTTCACTATTGTCCACTGTACGGCTCACTAGGAGTAGAAAACTAATTTCTCTGACACGGCGACTCTGAGATGAACTTTCGATCCACGTCTACTAACTCGTGGATGTTATGCTATAGCTCTCGCTTATCGTTTTGGAATAAATCAAAGAGAGTTTTTATCTAAGATTCATCTAGTTGTACAATAAAACTTGGTAGATTAAAGTGTTTTTTGTTCCTAATGTAATATAAATTCGAGAAAAACGAGAAAAGAACGAGTACAAGTCTATGTTATGTACAGATGTCCTTCCATTAATAGCTAATTTACTTTTTCTAGAACGAATTCTAAGAACAATTCAAAAGACTTTTTCAAACGTTTCATCCAGACATTTAGAAAATAAATAATCTTTATTGATGAATTGGTTTTAAAAGGTTAACGTAAGAAAGTTGATTACCATGTATTTCACTAGTAAATTACGTGTCTAGGTCAATTATTCGCCAATGTCCAAGCTATAAGCCTGAAACTGTAAATGGAAGTTTTGTCGTCTTATCTATGTAGCTCTGGTTCAATATAAACAAGAGAATGTTCAGTCTTATCTAGAAAGTAAATGAGTTTCAATGAAATTGGCTAATTTAGAAGTCCGAAATGCAATCAATTTGAAGTGATGTTTAGCTTATTTTCTTCATCTTATCTGGGCTAGTAACAGCGTACAGTATGCAATGACGTTTGTGTTATCTACGCAACGCTCATACCTCATACTTTATAACCGGAAGCCCCATTAATACACGACCATCTAACCTATATGTTCTTGGTTCGATTATGACATAGGTCAAGATGAAGTATTGAAACTTCTTTTGAAAAGTTGGTAGCATTCTGCAATTGTCAACAGTTGCATAAAGCTAAATCTATGCTGCAGAGCGTTAGTGGTATTTACATGGCAGACCGTCAGAGTTAGTAGTTGGCTCAGACTATACATTTTGTTTGCTCAAGAGTGATAATGTTCTGTCAATTACATCACTATTGAATGAACTATCAATACGTTGACTAGAAAATTGAACCATCAAATTAATGGTGGGTTTTCAGCCAGCTGCTTGTTAAACTCTAGATTTGATTCCATTTCACTTCAATCAATCAATCAAAAACCATTCAAGGTTGAAAAAGATACATGTATTTTTCAAGCGATTGCTTTTTAGGAGAGTGCGGAATGTTCGATTTATGTAAAGAACGGCGTATTTTATGCTACAGTTGTTGTTATCAAGAGAAGTTAATGGATTATTTTGTTCGGTTAATTTTTGTATTTAAATTCTTATGCTGATAAATTTTATCATTACTGTTTTCTGTTTCCAGGGAATTGTCGTCTAAATATTTGATTTGCCAGATGATAGCCTTTCAGTCACCACGTCAGCATGAGGGCTTATAGTCACCCCTGGGCGGAACATCAGCACACCACACAGATTGGAAAGATGTAAAACTTTTATTAATGGTCTGGTTAGTGGAATCTAACATATCTACGGTAGGTTTTATTGATTTGTTTGAGGACTGCATTTTGGAAAGCCATATGGTATTTCCCGACTGATACATTGAATGGGGATGAACGAATGCATTTTTCAGTGATGGTGCAAAATTCCAACCAGACAACCGGAAGTAAAATATTGCCAAAAATTTGTTAAATTTCACATAACATTACGAAACCCTCAGAAAGCAGATATAACGATCAGCAAAATACCAAATCGAAAAAAGGACATTAAAAAACAAGATCGGAAATTGGTCTCATATGACATTTCGAAATAGTATTAGTATTGAAATTTTTTGTGGAAAAGTTATTACAGCTTTCGACAAGTTATTAATAATTTATGAACACTTAGCTACAATTTGATTAAAAACTGATTATTTTTTCCTTGTTAACCTGACAGCGGCACATATACCTTTCAGATGATATTAATCTTAATGGAAATTAAAACTGGTTGAAATCGTCTAATATCAATTATCAATTTTTTGTCCCACTTTATTTAATGACCACGTTCACAAATTACTCAAGACAGATGTGTTATAATATCGCCATCAGAAATGGGCATCCAGGAAACGTATGTGACAAGTGGTTAAAAATATATATAAAGTTAACAGTCACCTTTGAACATTCAAAATTGTATAGTTTGCTAATGATAATGTCACTTCACGGATAATTGTAAATATGCTTCAATAATGAGTTTAAGTTTGTCACCATGGCATTTCTACCAATATTGATGTGATAAAACGATTTCCTTACGTAGACACTCTCTCAAAATGATTGTTTTATCAGATGAGTCTGAACTTGTCTGATAACTTGTAAGTCTGAATAAGTTTTAAGTGAATCTTTAATACGATTGACACTGATAGGTGATAATTGATCTAAACATGCAGCACATTCAAAACATGAAAGTCACAGGTTCTTCGGAAATACTCAATAATTAATGAATATGTGTGCAAAATTTTTGATGAACTACCACACTGCTCCTTATATACAAGTTTCTAAAAGACTATAGGCTCTGAATAATTTTAGTTAGTATTATATAAGGCTAAATTTCGTCTGATCAAGTGAATAACTGAACACAGAAAATTTGAAACTACAGTTTAGATGAAGGGAGAATACTCATAAATATTTTCTATTTTCGAAACACAATTAAACGACAAATCTATACATGGTTTCGTGTTATTTCAACACATACATGATAAACATTATTGGACCCTTGGCAGTCATGGACACAATGCACTAATTTCATTACAAACATATATTGAAAGTTTAGTACAAGTGTGTGATGTATAGATTCTTGAACAACTATGTACGTGATGTATAGATTCTTGTACATCATTGTACGTGGTTTATAGATTCTTGTACAACTATGCACGTGATGTATAGATTCTTGTACATCAATGTACGTGGTGTAAAGATTCTTGTACATTATTGTACGTGGTGTGTAGATTGTTAAATAACAATTGAACGTGGTGTATAGATTCTGGTATATCAATGTACGTGGTGTGTAGATTGTTGAATAACAATGAACGTGGTGTATAGATTCTGGTATATCAATGTACGTGGTGTGTAGATTGTTGAATAACAATGTACGTGGTGTATAGATTCTTGAATAACAATGTACGTGGTGTGCAGATTCTTGTATAACAATGTACGTGGTGTGTAGATTGTTGAATAACAATGTACGTGGTGTATAGATTCTTGTATATCAATGTATGTGGTGTGTAGATTCTTTAATAACAATGTACGTGGTGTATAGATACTTGAATTACAATGTACGCGCTGTACGTTTAGTACAATCATAGACATAGACGTCAATCAAGGTAATGATTTATGGATTCAGTCGTAGTTTGGGAATTTTGTTTTGATTAATTATAGTACATAAAGAACAGGTTCTCATATCTAAAACTTTGGAAACTACGGTTCTGAAAAATCATGGACATGGTTTATGAATGATTTACTCCTTGAAGTATACCTAAAGGCACTGTATATTTATAATTACAGATAATAATTATCATATGATTAGCTATTCCGGCAGCTAATACGCCCCTGTATGCGCTAATCCTATTATATAATTGTGATAAATGATAGGCTAGACACCAATATGACTGTTTTATTGAGTGACAGTGACCAATGGCTATTTAACAACCACTGACCACTGGGCATCCAGGTAGTTGAAATAAAACAAAAGATTATTGTCACTTTAGTGTAGGAAGTTTATTTACTGATTCACTTTATTTACTTTATAAAACACCATCTTTAACCCGGCCTCTTATGACAGCTAACATGCGCATGCGTTAAGTACAGACGACTATTTTATTTTAAACGACATTTACTAGCAAACTTAAAGCCAAGTATATATAAATATAGATAAAAGAAGCTGAATAAGATTTTATAGTAGCGGCCTACTTACAATTATAAAATGTCATCACAGTGTTTATTGGATAAGATGGAAACTGATGATCCAACTGAAAATTCGCAAACGGTAAGACTTTACTTCGTATCCTAAAATGCATGGACATCTGAAGTTGTGTGTATATCCATGTGATATCAATTGTAGAAGTTTGAAGTCATAAATATATACTCTCAGCATGTTGATATGACTAACGAATAAGTCTTTTCGCAACATGACAGTCCAAGAACAACGATGCTGGCAAACATGTTATGTGTATTCTTGGCAGCAAAACAAAATTGTATCTTGTATGAAAGGGCTGCTAAAGCAGGAAGGCTGAGTATTATTATAATCCTGTAATGATCAGCTTAGAAAATGATAAGCCATTGCACGCTTCGTTAATATTACATATATGTTACATTTTATTAAAGATAATGTCCACGTGTGGTTTATCATACCGTTCTATTCTGTTTTTAATTGCAAAATCTAGTTATTGCAATTTGTGTCCCAATTTTGTAATTTAAGTATTTTTATGCCAAGCAGAAACAGGAGAGCTCTAAACCGAAGAACGATCTTGTACTAATTCAGCCTGGAGTGATTTCAGATTGAACCCATACAATTGTCACTAGATATCACTGTTTGCTAAATTCCAAATAGAAAAATTACAAAACTTCAACATGTACGTGATTGATTTGATGATGGACAAAATAAAATTACAGCAGAAGCTGGAAGACCTAGTGTGGCTACGATAGCCGCAAAAAGAGGTTTTTGAGAATATGACAGCTACTCTTTGTTCGGTTTAAAAGTCTAAGTTTAGCAACCGCAGATCACGGTCCATTCCCGCATACAATTAATATGCCAATTAGCTAACATGTATTGTTTCGAACTTGTCCTTTAACTCTAAACCATGCTTTGGAGTGAAGCATTCATTGAGTACTGCCACACAGCAAAGATGTCGGCAATTGGTTGATCAAACTTCTCTTCATCATACTAGTTGTTGATACATTAACTATTGGAGAGCAAGATTGGATTCAGTACATGCAACAAAATTGGGTACAGAACAGCAAAATTGGATTTTATTGCCATCACACATATAACTGAAATTTTTAATTCGATCATGATTTAGCATCAGTTGGCCACAATTTGTATGTTAATTGAAAGGCTTTGATGCAGCTACACCATATATTACATGGATCAATGGTGATTATATAATGACCTACTTTAGAAAACTGTACATTTATACCACCATGAAAATATTCTTAGAAAATGTTTGACTGATTTCTTCAATGATTTGCATTTAATAATTCCATTTTCCACAGAATACGATGTATATAATTCTTTTTTGAACTTCAAAGAGCAAAAAAACAAGGACAAGACATACCTGAAAGAACATCAATATAATGTCTATGAAATAGTCAATTAAATAAGCACTGGTTGATCTTAGAGGGTAGTCAGTGTAATATTATATATAATTAATTAATTAAGAAATAAATACAGGCTTAGCAGGTTAATGACTTCAAATTACATGTTTGCTCGCCTTCCTATTTGAAAAACATGTATAATGGTACTTGCACATGAGAAGAATGCACAGAGTTTTTTGGTGTTAGATGGTGATCAGAACATAGTCTCATGATAGCACTGGCCTAGGTCACAAAGTAAAGATTTATGATAAAACAAGATGCAAGTTAAATGTTAAGATAATTAGATATGTTAACTAAGGATGTCTCTGTAATACTATCTGTGGTGGTATCATTTCTTTAGCTGAAATAGCTGAAAATATAATAGTCAATGTTCTTCTGGTATATCAATAATCATAAAACCTGTATTGTGAAACAAAATCTTTTCATGTATCTATAAGAAAATAAGAAGCATTAATATGAATAGTCATCGTAGGAAATTCAAAATCCAGAGACCTTATTCTCCAAAACCTTTTTTTTTCTTCAGAAGTTGATTTTTCACATTCCTGAAAATATTATAATTACGTCATCGCTAGTTAACACCGTTTGAAATTTTCATCAATTTATTACTTTTCCCAACGAGAGCGACAAATAAAGTTATTTGTTTACCTTTTTATTTTAAGATCAGAGATAAGATAAGTTTAACGTAGATATTCCTTAAAAGCGATCATTTGTGTGTTATCAATCTTATTATACGAACGCAATCTTCGATGTTTCGTTTCGTATACTTTATGTAGTTTACTACTCTTGTCATCAACGGTCAGAAAAATTCTTTTTAAAATGCTCATAGTGGTTTGTCATGGGTATATAAACATGACTTTTATTGGAAAATAATTTTATAAATGGAGAATTCGTAATATAAATAATTCTATTGTTAAACATAAACAGTCCACCCATCTGTATCTGTAACTGTTTTGCTTCCAATTTAACAGATAGAGGCAGAAATAAATGGAAAATGCAAATCAAAAGCACACGGTATCACTTATGGACTTTACAACCTTAAAACTTTTGTGACGTGTAGACATAAATAGAATTTCTCATTTCGTCTACGAAAGGCATCTACGAAAAGACAGTTGGTTGTAACGTGATAACAGGAAACGGACCTAGATGCGTGATCAGTTGGAAGTTGAAATAAGAAGTTCCTGCTGAAAAGTAATATGCATTATGGTTACCGTGACAACGCAATGCAATCATATTAACAAGAAAGCGTTATTGTTAAATATCTTATTACTTCATGATAAATAATCACGAAATGGGAATGAATTGAATGAACTGAAACTATTGTTGTAATGTATACTATCATAGTCTCTAGAGGGTGTTTAGGAAGTGTAAACACGATAGTGTTTGTATAATTACTCCTTGTTGTACAACACTGGTGTATATATATTTAATGCCATTGTCAGATCTAATGATCAATCTTATTTTGACCGTCTGTCAACATACAGGTCGCCACATAATGTCATCAAACAACTGATTCAAACCAAGTCTACAATGTTTATAGACACACCGATCCATTACCTCGTATTTAATTTATTACCAGTCACTGACATTGTATATGACCCCGATATATCTGTAGGCTCTAATGTTTTTATGTAAATAACATAAATTAGTAAACGCACCGAAGAGATTTTGTAATGAAACATAGTAGATCTGCTAGTAAAATGTCAATTTTTGTTAACTGCCAAATTTCATTCTGAAAATACGACTTCCTGCTTTTTGAGGGGTGGGGTGCATGGCAATAAAATCTAGTCAGTTGAAAATTGGAAAAGAGGAGCATAACTTGTAGCTATCCTGACAAAATATTCTCTGCGCACACCCTTGATGTTTTCTGTCGGTTCATTGACTTGGACTATTTCTTCAAAAGGTGGGCGAATAGCCTTATGCCTTAAAGTCAATTTAATTCGGCTATTCCAAAGTTTGTGTCCTTGTTAAGAAATTGTGAATGACGACCCATAAATAATAAGGAATTTGAAGAATCAATTGCACCAACCAACATTTTATACCTTAACTTTTTAACTTTAAACAACTGAAGATTAGAAAACTTGGTAAAGTTTTAAGGATAAATGTGACTCTTTTAAAATTAGATTTTCACAATTTGTGTTTAAAACAGTTTTATCACGTAAACTACAGTAATATGTTCTTCACTAATATTTTAAGAGTAGAATGGGAGTGTCTCTATTATTTAATGCGGAAATTTAAGAAGAATAATCAAGGATGGATATAGAACAAGAAGGATATAGTCATGTAAATTATATAATATCTAGTTGTTTTATGGTCAGTAGATCATCTTAACTATTTCATATATAATAGCATAAAACAGGAAAACAAGATCAGTTTTCAATTATCGTAGGAATTACTCTATGGAAATTACACTGTACGACATGAAGTATGAAATAAGATCACTTACCAATGCAAGAAAACAACTTAATTTGCCTTACTTTGTATTGCATAAAAACTCAGTATTAATATTTATTGATATAACTGAATTAATAACCTGTATTCTTGACCATGGACAAAAAAGCAACAAATTCAGGTCGAAAATAAGACTATTTGTTTATTATTATTCTCTATTATTTCTGGTATATTGACTGGTATAACAGTGAAACTATTTTACTTATTGGACGAAATAATCAAGGACCCATAAGATCGAAGGGTTTGGGTCATTAAAAATTGGCAATTTACCATTGTAGTTTCCCTTGTCTATCAAATTTAAATAGAGTGAATATCTGGAATATTCCAGCATAGGGACACAAGTGAAATGTACATAAGAAAATGAAGGCTATAATGTTTTAATCGACAGGTTCTTTTTGACGGAAGTGTGACTCAAGTCTTCACTTGATTTCAGACGACAATTGTTACAATAATTTGTCCAGGTAATAGATTGCTATCTTTTGGTTCAGACTTGAAGAAGCATTACTGCATGCAAGATGGAGATTCCACAGGTCGTCTTAGTCTACAGGAATCGCTCATGCTCTATAGTTTGTATTATCTTCTTTTTCAGTTTTATGGTTGTAACGCATGTAATAGACTAGCTAAATCTACCAAACGGTCAACCTGTGGTCATACAGTATTTGTTTTTAAGTCGTTTATACATAGCCGAGGTAATGTATGAATTATTGTTTTTCTGATTCGAGTAATGTGGTGTTTCTAGAATTACGGAGCGTCCATGCAAAATACCGAGTGCAGAAAAGCTGTATATGAATATATGTATTTATATATATTGGGTCACGAATCACCGACAGTGCTTTTAACTTAAACATAATGATAATTTTAGTACTAGAGGCTCGACTGATTTTTTAAAATTAACTCACCGATATCCAACAGTAAAGACATTCAAAAGAAGGCTTTACATTTCTATCAACAAATAGTCAGTGCTATTATGATGGAAATTGCTATGATAAATATGATACCCTCTTTGTGAGCAAAGAAGACAGTAACCTGAACTATCAATGGTCTCGTGTGATAAATATAATATTCCCTAAATTGAAGTATTATTCAATATTGTGTATTGCTCTTGACTATTATTTGATTTGCTTCTGCGTTATCTAATAGTACATCAATATCATTGGGTTGAGGACATGCTGCATAGATTAATATTTTGATTTGTTGAAGGCAGTCTAATATTCGTTAGAAAAAAAGCTTGTCTTCTTATTTTCCCTTCGGAAAGAACTGCTATGAGCCTCCTTTGACTATTCTGTAGTCTCTACTCGGCCCCTTTAAAAAATGACACGAGATAAAAAAAAACTTAAGAGTATGAGAAGATATTTCCTTTCTTGCACTCTGCTTGAGGTATAAGGTGTACATTGTCCAACCCTAATGTGAAAGGAAAAAAGGAATCCTTAATGTATAAATATATATTGAAGAGTTTATGAAAAATATTTCAGTAACCAAAGAACTCTGTCGTATATTAGGAATTATAATTGGAGTTGTAACATTTATAATAGGTTAGTAGATTACTTTATTATTTAAACTTATTTTTTAAGGATGTCATTGAAGCGTCATCTTGATCATCTTCGCAACGTTTTCCTAGTGCCTCTTATCATATCAATTAGCATTAAATGGGTAGATTCACAACCCGTTTGACCAAGCGCGCCTTAGTCGCCTTAGTAGGTTATTGCCTCTATTGCCACTTGTAAAAACGTTTTAGCACCATGAAACTAATTTGAAACTCTTTGATTTACTTTCAGGATTACGTTATAGACACGAATGCCATTTTGAACCAGCGATTCCAGTGTTCTTAATGGTGTTAGGTTCAGTGTTATTTTTACAAACAGTGTTCAGAACGTTATTGTTATTTCGACCTAAAGTGAAGGTGTTAGAGGGCGAAAGAGAGGGTCTAGATACACCCGGAACTCTCATCAAAATACAAGTTTTATTCTTAATACTTTGGGTTATGGCAGGTAATTGTGTGTAAAGATAAACTATTTTCTCTGTTTAATTAAATTTAATTCTCGTTATTCGTTATTTTGAATACACTAACAAAGTAGGGGGTATTCAAAAGTATTTATTTGTTTTGAACTGAAAAGTTAGAAAGTTTAAATATACTAGTAACATCCAGATGCATAATCTATACTTCAATTTCAGCATCAAAAAGTGTCCTTGTTTTCATCTAAAGCACATCCAATGCCTCATATATTGTCACGCCAGTTAAAGTGGTCAAGGAGTCTGCTAAAACCATTTTGATTCTGACCGTGACTAATTTCTTACCAAAGTTAATCTTAAGATTCTATTCCTTTTCAGGATCAGTGTGGATATACAGTGCTAAAGGAATAGTGCAATTTCATAATCCAAAAACACGCAATTTTTGTGATAAAACAGTATTTTGGACATCATTTGGTATGGTGACTGCGTCCTACACTCTTACAATATTAATTGTATGTTATTTTATAACAACCTATATCGTATTACGACTGAAAACCAAACAAGAATCTGAAAGAAAATCTAGTGAAAATTCTGTATACTCAAATAATAATTTTAAATGCAACAAAAAATCATCTGACGTCACCGTAGATGGAATTATGTCGTTGGCTTAAACTTAAACTATTTGAAATTGGAAAATGTCTGGAATCTCATCAGCAGTGATCGCATTAGATTTGTATATTAATTGAACGTATAAATGACTGTAAGCGTGTACATTTTCTGTTGGTTGTTTCTCTTCAAAGTGGAAAACTATATCAGAAATAATTTATTAGCACCCACAGGAGCCTAGAACAACCAGCGACCGCACCAAATGGCAAAGCGGGTCTATTGAGTACAAGTTTTAAATCATTTTCATTTAGCTTTTCAACACTGATATCAAACTATTGTGTTAGTTTGTGTTGCGTTCATTTTCAGACTCTATAAACTATAACGTAGGCATATTGCTGCATAAGAGAAATGCCATTGAAAGCAGTGTGTGATATTTTGTATTCTAGTCAAAAAAATACTCATTTATTAACGAAATAAATCATTATCTATATATTCATTGTAATATGTTGGTTCTGTGGAGAGATCACTTCAAGAATTGTTTCAAAGTCTAACCAGTTACTGTTTGTTCCAGTTCAAGTTCAATATTGGAACTGATTTGATTTATATTCAGCATTCGGTCGGTGGACATAGAAAACTATCTGAGGAAATGTAGAGATAAAAACCTCGACAAAACTAATATTAGACATTTCTTGAAAAAAAATCGTAGTTCAAGGGAAGTAACTTATTTAAAGAAAGGAATAACCCGCTATTCAACAGACTATTTTTTACCAATTTTTCTCTTTCATATAATCTGCATAGAGTTTATGTTCAAACTGCGTCCCTCGAAAATACCAATTTACTACAACATGGGTAACTGAAATATCTACGGACAATGGCTCCATGGCGCTACTATCAAAAACATTTTATCATGAACATTATGTTATAGACCGAGGAATTTTACCAGACAGACCTCTTTGGTATGAATGGTATTTCAGTCTTATTAGAACGTCATTCAAGAAATTGATATTTTAATAAACTACTTATCACAAAATGGTACTGTACAAAGTCATTTAATTATACATTAAGACAATATCTAAGGAGTATGGTCTAAGTAGTCATACGGGGGTTCAAAAGTCACAACCATTAACTTGGCGAAGTCTACAGGATTAAACAATGTTATTCTAAATTAGACACAAACAATATATTATCCATACATGAAAATTTAAGAGTGGCTTTATCATTCATTGAAGTCATGATCCAAGAGGTCGACTTCTGCCAAAAGATATAAGATAGGCTGCATAGTAATGATGGAATAAATGGAATATATACAGATATACGAGATTACTACATTAACAAATATTAGAACTATTTTATAAATCTTCAATTGTAAGTTTCAGATAAAATAATGTCTATGACATGCCGACTTCATTCACTGCAAAATAAAATATGCGGCTTGAAGCAATCAAACTGGCACGAGCTTCAATGTCATCTCTAAACCCTTTCAGATTGCGAAATGCTACTCCTTCCTTGAGGTCTCCCTTTCATTGCCATGGGTGGTAGTCCTGATGCCCCATTAGTAAGACCATGAGGCGATACAGTTGGATTTGCTCTTTGAACCTTTTCCAGCACTAAACACGATGTTACCATACTAGCAATCTTGAATGAAAGGATTTAAAGGCTCATAATTTAAAAAAAATACGAAAAACGAGTCTCTTTGAAGATTATTGCATTCAGTTATATGTTCCAGTTACCAATAGATAGCGTCAAATTATTTTAGATTAATTACCAATTACAAATTAATTAATCAATTACCAGAGAGTGATGATAAATTGCCATTGAATCTTGATCAACGGATAAGAGGTGTATTGGATTTATTATTGTATCTTATTGTATTAGAAATAGACGTCACAATTTAATATACTTGAAATAATGATCTAATTGTCTTGGCCTTTCATACCTGTATGAGTGCTACAACTGCTAAGGTTGATGCCCATATTGGTGTGTTACTGTTGATCCATAGCTCAATCTTCTCCCAACAACCATCCTGAAACAATGACCATATACTCAAGGACTGGACATTTAAAATTCAACGCACGGGTATTTTTTCAGGTTTCGGACCTTTGAAAAGGGAAATTGATCTACTGATAGGCTTGTGGATTCTCTGAACTTATGGAAGTAAGTTAACCAACATACACAAGCATTAACTATGTGGACTCAGAATTCGATACCTAATCAATAACCATTTTGGAGGGTTATCATACCATGTTCGGCAAGAAACGCCAGTCAAAGTACCCATCATGTTCAGAAAAAAATGGAGATATCCTTTCTATATTTCGATGAGTCTGAACATTATGAGTACTGTATTCACAGGTCATACCAACCTGGAAAAGTGTCTGTTCTGTTTTGGTTGTAATGGTACCAGGTCCAAATTTAGCATTATCAAAACAACTATCAGGAAGCTGTTCCAGTGTAACACTATATTCTGATGAATGGTTGTAGCCACAGCAACGCAACTAAAATATTTCAAACATTTCATGTATATTTTTACCAAATCTAGACAATATAAGTTCATGTCTTTAGGTACGGTCTGGTTGTAACCATGAAAGACGTTTTATATATTCTTCTGCTCAAGGTAAGATGCTAAGGCAAATGTATCCGGGTTTTCTATTCTCTGATGCATGTTAAAGAAGGGAGGTCGAAAAAGTTATCTGCATTGATGATAAAAAAGCAGTTTAAGATTCCTTGACAGAACAAAAAGGTAGATCACGACCTCTGACCATATACTACACTGTAGTATTAGTCTAGAGCAATGTTTTACTATATCAGTCGCTCTGCCTTATTACATAAATCAAGCAAACACAGCACAGGGATGTTTTGTTCTTTCCACTCACCTCAGATTGTACCAAAGCTCTCGTAACCGGATTAAATTCTTTCCAACCAGATGCTGTGTATTTTGGTATCTGAATTTTAAAATGAATGCAAAGGATATATTAATGTACGACATTGTATTTAACGAAGAGCAATAAGACCAACAGCAAAAACAACAGAAAAATAGTAACAGACAGAGAATAGGCGAATTCTCCGTAAATTCTCTCCAATTATAACCCAGAAGCATTTTAATTCTTTTACTATATAATATCAATACTCAATTTACCATCTTTATGAATTTAGAAACAAAACTTTCAAGAGTTTATATTGACTAATAAATGTTACGTCGAGCTGCGACAAGCGGAAATCATTTTCTGTTCGCCTGAAACACGGTACCAACCTGGTCTTTCTGGACGTAAGCAGCCAATATGGCACAAATTTCTAGGAAGAATAGTGTTGTTATAAAACCAATATACTGAAATCAAACAAAAAAGATATCAATAGATGTATATTGGTTGTACTCAAAGTTCTGCTTCATATTGGACATACTAACGAGCGATGCCATGGTCTGAAATGAAATGAATGGAGTTTTATGTCCTACTTTTTTTTAATGAAAACGGGTAACGCCATGCAAGATGCAATGAGAGAAATTTTGCCAGGACAGTGGCAGTGATCTGCTCTTTTTCGACTGTCGAAGGATCTATAACGTGCGCAGTCCCGAGCACACGGAACCTCGGTTTTATTGTCCCATCCGAACGACTAGACGGTTTTTCCACGACGTGTTGAAAAATCTTAAGGTGTTATCTCGACCTGTGCTGGGTTTGAACCCTTGACCTGTAGGTTAGCGAGCAAGCGTCTAACTCACTGAGCCACCGCAACTAGTTAAACGTTTTGCTAACAGAACGAATAGAAAACTGCATAGGATACTGTAGATTTAAATCTTACCGTTTTTAATGTACACGGATTTTCCAAACAACCGCCAATGCAACCAAATAAACCTATAAAATACAACAGTTTAACTCAGACACTGGTTTCTGTGTCCTTTTTTAGACCTGCCATGTATACAGAACATGAAATGTTAACGCTCTTCTATTTGTACCTATAATTGGGATAATGAAGAATAAGTGCAAAAACTTGTAGTGTTCATAAGGATATAAGAGCACACTCTTTTCCAATATCCTATGATCGAAAGATACTTCAAATCAAACCTTGAATTATATTAAATTAATAATTATTTTGGCTTACCAATAAAGAATATGATTATTCCCAATGTTATCAAAGTGTACGTGAATATCTGAAATAGTTAGGCATAAAAATTAAGTATTAGTCATATTTTTCTATCTGTTAAGCAGAAGTTCTTGATAAAGTATAAGAATGGTTACAAAGAAAAACACTTCATGTTCATCTGATTATCTTGCTAAAGAAACAGCCGAGATCTGCGTATTTGTTCCAAAACATACAATTTATTGGTGTCTCTTTCGTTTTTATAGGAAAGCATCTTTCACTTTTTTCTGTTTTCTGATTTTTTCAGACAAAATTTTGCAGAACCTGGTTTGTATTCCGCCTAAGGACCAATGATCACTTAAAAACACAAATGGGGGTTACATATAAATAATCTTAAGAAAACGTACAAATGTTCCAGATAGGAAGTTGGTAACTGATGGATTAGTTGCCAGAAGCCATGATACAAAACCAACCACTGATAAACCAATTGCCTGAAATGTACATATTATATTAAGTTGATACGAATAACAATTCATTAACATATCTGAACTCTGTGAAAGAGAAACGGACAAACCCTTTGTACAGTGGCATCAAGTACAAGATGAGTCATAATAATGACCGATTGCGAATTCTGTACTACCACGATGTTAACAGATTTCCGTCTGATGATGTGTCAAAAATTCGAATTCTACACCAAGTCATGATGGTTACAGATTGCGAACTCTACATCAAGTAATGACGGTGACAGATTGTGAAATTCTACATCGAGTCAAGATGGTGACAGATTGTTTAATTCTACATCAAGTAATGATGGTGACAGATTGCGAATTCGACACCAAGTCAAGTTGTCAAGTTAAGATTGTGACAGTGTTTGAACTCTACACCAAGTATTGATGGTGACAGATTACGAATTCTACACCAAGTATTGATGGTCACACATTACGAATTTTACACAAAGTGTTGATAGTTACAAATTGTAAATTCTACACCAAGTTAGGATGGTGACAGATTGTGAATTCTACTCAATATATATGATAAGAAATAATAAGAATGACCATGACATGTCATATGATAATCCTACTGGTGAGATGATTAATTATATTATCATTGATTTAACTAATTACTAAAACACATTTGTTAATCTAGTCATTCTAAGTCAGTCTAATAACAAACTAGAATCCCGTGTCTATATAAAGGTACACCCTTTGACGATTCGAATATTAAAATATATTTCATACTTTTCCGATATATCAAGAAACAACTATGCGACTTTTACATGATCTTGTCACGACCTCGTCGAGTCGATTAGTACCTTCAGGGCACTTCGTTGTAAAGATGCCTTTTTATTGATGAAAAAGCCAAAATTAGAATAGTGAAATTCGAAATTCAATGTTTTCGATGTTCTTATTTATAATGAAATTAAATTTTCAGATAATCCGTATATCCCCTGAAAATGTGGGTGGGTGATTGTAGAATCACTTGTACAATTTATTGTTCCATGAATTGCAATCTGCACTCTGTGGCTTCCTTTATATGAAGAAAATCTTTTGGAATCTAGAGTAAAATTATTTCTAATCAAATTAATCCGAATTATTTACCTTGGGTTGTACATTAATAAACATTTAAAGTAAATTTTCTATGTGTAGAGGGGAACAAAACCACGAATTCATTGATTTTAAACACTTTAATTCAAACAGTTTGCTCAGTCTTCTGCTGTACAGGTGTATAAACAGCCATTTGTATAGTAATTAAAAGAGGAATACAAAAACAGATAATACAGATTACCTCTATTCGGTATTGATATTATTTTGAAGTCAATATAAGATTTTACACTATATGTCAGTAGAAGGAGTTATCTTTATTTTATAAACTTCATTTTGATATTTTTAATTAATTTTTACCGTTAGCTTTAAATATAACTCTTCAAAAAAAAAAATAGTTCTTAGTTTGCAGATTGGTAACAGTATAGCTTTGAATTGCACCGTTACAATTTCCAGCTGGCCTTCTGTGGTTTTTGTAATTCTAGAAAGGTTGTATCTGATATTAACACTAGAGAAATGCCATTTTGTTTTGTGAGGTAGGTCACAGTGAACAAATTGATTATCTAAGGAGAAATTAGTACGATTTTGTGTTTAGATTTGTTGTTTATATAAGTCATACAAAATGCGTAGGAAAGGAAATGTGAAATGATGAAGGGTTTTGATGAAATTGCTCATGATATTGCGAATATTAACAGCTGCTCAATAAAGTAAACCTCTTTTTTTAAAAAAAAAAAAAAAGTATTTATTAACGATAGACATACTCAATTCAAGGCTTTTTCCGAACATGTAACTTATCTTCAGGGCTATTTCAAAACTAACTTTAATTCACCGTCTTGAAGTAATAAAATTCACCTTAAAAAATTTTTATGTAACCCCTAAAAACAGAATTTTAGAAAATTACTTACCCAAAATAGAAAGTTTATGAATATAAACGCCATCCTCACAATACCCGCCATGGTTAGCTTCTACAGTTTGACTAAGAAATCTTATATTAACATAATGAAGATTAATATATTCTGATGTATTCCTTATTAATGCTCATTAATTAATGTCTTTGTAATCAATAATAATGTTCGTTAGAAAACATCACAAAATATTTGGAACATTTTACCATTTGCAGATCCAAATAATTCTAGTCAGTTAAAAATCCATGTAAAAAAAGTGCTTATTTGATCTTAAAACCAACACTTTTTCACAAAACTGACACACACTGCTGCCGAGTTGTGCACAATACAATCTGAAATGTGTTCAGTACAAGGTCAGGTGACCACAACCATCTACATCGATTGTCACAAATTCAAAAATTTACTTTTCAACAGATCGATTTTAATTGCGTGTTATTTGAAACAAATATGTTAGTTTACAATTTAACCCTGTTAACTCTCTGGATTAACGTAATGTTTATCTAGTCAATTCCAGGTCGCAGAAATAAAGGTACATGTACGTGGTTCAAGACAAGCTGAGTTAAATGGATTGGAAAAGACTGTTTCTAACAAAATATAACAAACCAGAGAAATACCATTGTACCGTTGTAATATCTAAATAAGCCAAAAAAATAACATCGGAATGGTAATATATAACTACTTTATAATAAGTCAAAGAAATACCTTTGGTATCAGGAATGGTAATATCTAAGTAAGACAAAGAAATACCGTTGTTTTCAAGAATTGTAATATATAAACACTTCATAACAGGAAAGAAATACCATTGGTATCAGGAATCGTAATATCTAAGTAAGCCAAAGAAATAACATTGTTGTCAGGAATGGTAATATCTAAGTAAGCCAAAGAAATACCATTGTTTTCAAGAATTGTAATATATAAACACTTCATAACAAGACAAAGAAATACCATCGGTATCATGAATTGTAATATATAAGCACCTTATAACAAGCCAGAGAAATACAACCCTTTATAAGGACAAATGATTCATTATGTTCATAATATCATATAACGCAAATGGGTTGCGCGGTTGCGGCTGTCGAACTTTGGATTAAAAATTAGCAGTTGCCACCAATTGTCATAAGTTGTATTATGTTCTACTTTACAGCTAAAACTGAACCATAAGCTTAAGAATCTGCGACCACAGTTACTAGTTTGTCCATGTAAGTGACAAATGCAACATAATCGACAGGCGAAATGAGCCTCCCCGACCAGTCCCGTAGCCAAGGTGGGGCAGCCCTCCTTAATAAAATCTTGCCCCCCTAGAAAAATGTACCGGTCACTTTGTTAAAATACACCTTTTCCTTTCCTGAGTCAATAGGAGCGGCAGGTAACTGAGTCTGAGTGAATGGCCAACAGTGGTCATTCTGGTCAGGCATTGTATGGTGCGTTGAAAATCATAAAAAGTCTGCAGTAAAGCGTCGTTGGTAACAAAATTATTGGTCTGATACTGGATTGTAATCTGTCCCGTCTCAAAATTCAGAAGATTTGATTGGTTGATTGAGTAATAGACATATATTATCCTAAATTGTATTCATATGAATCAAACAACCCAAAGTAGGAAAAATTGATAAATATTTGATCAAAAAAGACAAATTGCTTGATCGTTCCGACACTACTACGACTGACACTGGTATCAAAACCACAGCGGGCAACATAACGGATGCAGTACCAAGATGCTCTGAAAAGACAGGAGTACCAGGTGACATTGGAAAAGAAGACGTTCCAAAGCAACCGAGAATAAAATTTCCAGCGAAGTCTGGTCGCCATTTTAGTAACAGCTGGTATGATCGATTTCCTTGGCTGGAGTATTCAGTGTCAAGGGACGCCCCTTTTTGATTTCCATGTCGAGTGTTTCACAATACATCTGCGGGTGCATAAAAATTCATCACTGAAGGCTACACAGATTGGAAGCATGCTGTAGGTGATACTGGAAAGGGCTTCGAAGCATAACAATTGAGGTAAACAATTTCCCCAAGATAACGTTGCCAAGACAGAAATGCAGGACTTCAATCTTGTTCTTTAAAAACTATACGAGCAGAAATTGGATTTCCCTAAATCATATGCACTGGTTGCAAGCGTTGCCACATTCGGTTCTAGTACCACTGTGTGTGAAAGCAGCTTTTCAACTCTTACTCGCGTTGACTCACCACAACGACGATCTATGACTCAGCTTCGCCAGCGCAATTTTGTTCTTCTTGCCTTCAACAGGAAGCATACCCAGAAAATTAATTTGGACGTATTTGTTCAACGTTTTGCCATAAAACATACCCGACTACGTTTAAACTAAAACGGGCAATAAAAATGTAACGTATTTTAACTTGTGTGTTTTAACAAAAATAATCTCGAATCTAAAATTCAGGAGTACTGGTCAGGCTACGGGCCTGCCCCCGACAATAGTTAATCCGAGCACATAAATTACTATGACCTCATGAAAGAGATTTACAAACGTTTACGAAGATAGTTAATATATTACATCATATTACACACATCATTTGGTCATATTCGGCTTTATAGTGGTCTGAGTCAGCTTGAGTTTCCTCCCTTGTATTGAATACCTTTGTCAGCTATTTTCTTATCAGCAAACCGAATATTATATTGACATAAATTTATTATTCTACTTAGACAATATATGGGTTAGTTTGACATTTTAAAATCAATATATTTTATACATTACACATTGAATGTGAATCTAACAAATCAACGGTTTCAATAGCCTATTTATAACTGATGATATTGTCTGAGAAGCTATATTTGGCTCAGGTCTAAGAATTAATGTCCGGTGCCAACCCAATAAAGGGGTGAAACCGCGAAATGCACCAGAAACTTTCCTTTAATGATTGGGGATGAACGTATAATCTTAAGGTGCGGGCACACGGGCGGTCTTGGTCGGAGACTTTTGTCGCCGATTAAAGTCCTGTCTTGAGTTTCAACGACTGGCACGGGCACACGATGAGACAAAAATCTCCAGTCGGTCGTTTTATACCTTGTCGATTTTGGTCTCCGACTCGAATCTTGAGTAAAATCTGGGATATGCCCGTGCTTCCACTACAAGATTATCGTGTCGCCGGTAGGATTTATAATATCAAACAAGTTTGTCTTTGATAGTTTTATCGTCTACAAGACAGGCTGTCATCGTCTAATCAGATTCCTTTTCTATTCAATTGCATGCTCCGCACGTGATTATCGACAAGGTGGAAAACTCGTGTGCCAGTGTCAGTCGTTGAAACTCAAGACAAAAGTCCGACCAAGACCGCTAGTGTGTCCGCACCTTTAGACAACCTGGTTTTATTTTGACTGAAAAAAATTACAAAATGCTTATTCACAGATATAAGGGCAAAGAAATGTCGAGATATTCTACTTGAACATTGTTTTACATCTTCAGATTGTCGCGCTCAATGTCACGTCCATGAGTTCTTACAACCAATTTTGTCACTATAGAATGGTATTTATCAATTTAAAATTCCTTACTTAAGACGAATTCTCATCGTAAGATTATATTTGTGAAATGGGACCCAAAGCTTCAGAGAATAGACCTAGGTCAGAATGAATGATAATATTAAATTTAAATGTCAGATAAATACCATTTCTCGTCATTAATAACCAAAAATAATCGTTTCCTGTTATTATATATCTAATAGTTCAGATATAGGTCATTTCCATCTCAAATAATCGATGGTACCGTACATTGTACGGTTGTAATTTCTCAATATTTTCCAGTTAAAAGATATCTTGTTGCGGTGTAGCTACATGGTGGTTTTGTTATTATATTACGGCATTTGAGACATCAACAATATTCATGCAATTTATAGGACTACTGAGAAATCAAGATCCTATGATAGAGCAGCCTGTAAGAGATAGATGGCACAATGCTTACTTTACTACATATATTATGGTTTGATCAATGTAATCATTTAATAATTCATGAAAATCCTTTTCAAGGACTGAATACTAGAACTTTAAACTCATTCCATATATATACATTTATGCCCTAAAAAAAATGGCGTTTTTTGTTGCGTTTTGGGTATATAAAGGTGAGGGGGAGGAGGGATTTGGGTGTACAGAGGGGGAAGACGCCCTGTCCCCACCCTCTTCACCGTCACGAAGGCATGTATTTCGGGTGAAAATCTCATAACTAGGTTAGAAATAGATATTTCGCCTCCCTCGTACCTAAACATGACTACTGGTGAGGTTCATGCAACAATTATTTTTCTGCATACACAGGTTACTCTTATTCAAAAATATCAAATTTAGGCCTTTTCCTTCACCCGGTATTATACTAACTTAAATGAAATGAATATAAAGCATTATTCAATTATATTTGAAGTGTGACGATGCATGTAAATTTCATTGATAAAGCCGTTTCTATGTAAAGCCTGTAGGATATAAGATTAACTTAACAAAGCGTGCACAAGCTATTATATATTATAACTGTAACATGATCCGATTTAAAACATGTTTGATTCAAACCTGACTTCGAGTGTATTACATCTGCTAAATTTTAGTTAAAAATGTCACGACACCCTTCCAGTCGAAACTGATAAGAACACACATTACTCATAAATATCAACAACGATAATTGCTTCTTATAAGGTGTTTATGATTTAACTGAGGTGAACTGGATATGTTTCTGTTTGAAAATGTAAACTTACACCCAGATCCGTTATAGTCAATTACTGTCGGACAGCAATCAGCTGAATGACCATAGATTCCAATCCCTCAGATCGACAAGATTTAATTTTTCCAAGAACATTATTGCAACTGGCAACAACGACGAATTTATATATCGCCTATACACTTAAGTCAACTAAATCCAACAATTTTCAGTTTCCCGAGACACTAAAGGTTCGAAATCTTTTATTGAATCTCTTTTATGAGAAACTCAATGAACGTTCCCCTCTGTGTTATGAAGGTCGAGGATTACGTTTTTCTGGGAACATTATCAAAGGAAGAGCGGTTCTCGTACAGCAAATCAAAAAATCGATCCCATTGCTGTTTTTTTCAAATAATAT